CTATCTATCTATCTATCTATCTCCTTTCCATACAAATAAGCAGGTCCACACACACACACATCTATATATATATATATATGTATGTATACACACATGTGCATATATATATATATATATACACATATGTATGTATGCATCTGTATACACACATATATACATATATGTGTATACATATATTTTTCTATATATGTAGACCCACTTGTTGATCCGGGATTTCGGTATTGAGTTACTCAGCCGAAGGGTGCTGTGGTGCAGATTCTGGGATATCGCATCTCGCAGCTAGCGAGCTGCAATCTCTGTCATCAGAGCGCTTCTTGCTAACGTCTCATGCAGACTCTATAATCTGTACCTTAAGCGCCTAGACTTGTCGCAAACCAATGTCTAGCACGACTCAGGCGGCAAAAAGCAACACTGAACCCTGAACCCTGCAAGCCGTATAAACCAGTCAGGACTTATGAGCTTCTCTCGACACATTGTAAACCTAGATCGAGCGCAGCTGCAAAGAAACCTCTTGTGATCCTTATAAAACCAGAGTGAAACTCCTTTGACCAACAAGGGTGATGGCTCAACCGCTGATCTTATGGTGTGGCATCGTCTGCGACCGGGCCGCAGCAAGTCCAAATGTCACGTGATGTAGGACGAAGGGAGAATTTACAGGAAGGGCTTAATGTTCCCTATTCTCTAGACCTGGATACATGGGCAACAAGTACCTGCATGCGAAATTGGTGCAACGTGAATTGGCGACTACCTGAACACGCTCATGCATTGTGAGGGTACAAGCTGGGTGCACGATACTGGCATGTGAGTCATGAAGAGAAAGTGAATTGAGACAGAGTGAATACACGAATGGAGTGCATGGCCAATGAATATGTGAATTGAGTGCATGGCCGCCCTTGTTGCTGTTACATACTCAAGTGACGGCTGTTACTGGCGGTAGTGTGTATGACATAGTGACCAGGAATGCTCTTTTGAAATAGTGAGCAATAGCTCGATCCAGCCTTGGTCCAAGGTGATCTGTTTGCATGTACTTTTCAATGTGCAGGCAGTTGCTGAAACCGTCGACTAAACCAGTAGTGGAGTGGAGACAGAACTATGCGGAGCCTTGCCGGCCTTGTGCGAGTGTGAGAGTCGAAACCCTAAACCCTAACCCCCAAACGTTTCGTCTCCGAGAATGAACACATGTTGATATCTCAGTCTCTGACACTCCAACTGCAAGAAGACAAGAATCTGAAGGCTCATTGTTCGAGTCCTCCATGTTCATCTTCGTCTTCAACTGGACCCCGGTGCTGATGAAGGCCGGCTGTTCTGCGCAATGGTTATCGGTAATGTAGGGGCCTTCATAATTGCCTATAGTATTTTGGGGGTTCCATATGATAATCATAGTATAATAGGACCCAAAACTCTATTCTAATTATGAAGGCCCCTACATCACTCCGACTTTCGGAGCAGAATTTCGGATGGGGTTTTGGGGTCTTCGGCGCAGGGTCCTTGATGAAGGATCCCGTGCAGGAACCCATAAAGGAACCCTTGCAGCAGCTTCCTGAATGGCTTTCGGACACATAGTAAGCCGGGGTCACGTTTAATTTTAGAGACCCAGGGTTTAGGAGTTTAGGTTTATAGGATTCAGGGCTTAGTGCACTGCAGTCCCTGCTCAAAAAAAAGGTTTATAGGACGTTTCAGTGGAACCCTTCTTGAAGTTGCCGTCGCCTCGAGGTGGGCGAGCCGGATCCGCCTTTCGGGCACATCTTCGCGGGCTTCATGATCTTCTGCATGCTAGGCCTGCCGAAGACTCAAGCACCAGCTTCTGCGATGTTTCGCAAGACAGCTTCATGTACTACCCTAAACCCTTCAAACCCTAAACCCTAAAGTGTAGGAGCCCGGCTGTGTTGCAGACTCTGCTGCGGGAGCGGTCGTGCAACTGCGCCTCAGAGCCTGCGAGGCAGTCGCCTCTTTTCGATGGCAGTGCACAGCATCCCGAACGAGAGGATTGGCGACTTGACATGATGTTCTGATTTAGAGTATGGTTTTCTGTTCACAGTTCGGAGACACCGTTGCCAAGCAGCAATTGCGCCACCGCTGGCTGAGTTGCATGTTGGATGTTCGATCAGAAACGGACAGTCGCTGGTGCTTACTTCGCAGGTGCATCCACTTGCCATGTTTACGAAAGCATCGTTATTCTCTCACCAAGTGCCTGCCTGATCATGTGCTTTGTCCAGTTGAAATCACTAGTCACTAGTACCATCGGTGCATGTACGACCCGCTTGATCCACCGATTTACTGCGTGGGAGGTTTAAGGAAACCTGAATGAGTAGATTCTTCATTAGATGCCTAGATTCACACGATGCTGGCAGATCGATGCTTCTCGCGGTGTCCAGGAACCGGTTCCTGGACGTCGTCTAAACTGAACCAGTTCTCCCCAACGAAGTGGCATAGACCTGCACAGCCACAGCATCAACCCCACATTGCCCACATCAGCTATTCTTGTTTGGGCATTAAGGGCCCCCCCCCCGGTTTTGGGGAAATTATAGAAAGGCCTCTTCAATGAGCGCACTCGGCCATTCTTTTCATCACATGTGTGTCTCGTTCTTCCTGGTGATCCTCACGCACTTCGACGGAACGGGCGCGAGAGGTTTGCGAGACCTGAGGCTTCGACCGTTTGCCAGACCTGAGGCTTCGACCGCGATCCGCTGTCTCTGCGTTTTGAAGGGGCTGCATGACGTGCTTGCCGTGCGACACCGGTCAACAAAGCGACAACTGCATTGAAGCACGAGTCGCTTTCGTCCCGGATAGGTGTGGTCTGATTTTAGGGCGCCGACCAAAATGCAAATAAACCGAAACCAGAACACGGCTGTTTGCCCCGCCCTTCCGGGAGTTTTTGTTTCGTGAATCGTGCAATCAGTTCCCGAAGCTCTGATGAAACTCAGGGATGTACACTCTTATCGTGGCCGCGCTGTGTCATGGGAGCATCCTCTTCGTTGACTCTGAGGCTATTCACTTGTTCCTTGGCCGGACAGGGGTGTGTCTAATTACTGTTCATGTTTATGGTGCTGAAGAGTGGTATGCGGTACTACGACTACCGCTAATGCCACCGTCGCACAACGACTGCACTGCCAGTGCTGCTGCAAATTCGCTGCTGCTGCTACTGTTACCCCTGCAATCGCACTGCCACGGCTACTGCTGCCACGGCTACTGCTGCGACCACCGTGACGCCGGCTATAAAACTACACTTGCTCCTAGACTTAGACTCCCAGACAGCTACTCGTACGTTTGGTGTGCCGAACAGATGTTTTTTTCCAAGGATGCGGAAGCAGTTCTGACTCCTTACTCGCGGACTTCCGAAAGTGTGGGTTCAGCGTTCTGGGATCGTTTAGGATCTAAGTAAGGGACGTTGGTCAAGGCTCGAGGTTTGGATGTTGGAGGGTTTCGGGATGTGGAATTTCAATGCCAAGCGGTTGGTGAATGTCTCTGTTCTAGCGGCGACATATGCTGTAGCTGCGGCTGTTTCCCACAGCAACTTCTCTTCTTTCTTGTGCCTTGATGGCACCAGTGCTTCTGTTGATGTTGCTTGCTGTTCTGCTTGTGATGACTGGGCTTGCTGATCGGGAGGTGCAGGTCAGTCCCACATTTTTTGTCATAGAGAGCTATAAGATGGCCCACCAAGGCTAGCATTCTTCATCTTCGAGATGTGCGTGGGCATCTACTTTCCCATGATGGGCACTATGAAGGGCCAGATAGTTCCTGAGTCTTTGCCCAAGCTTCGCTGAGGATTTTCGTCATGTAGTGGTGGTGGTGGTGGTGGTGGTCAGTAGGAGAAGGCAAGGATTCTTGCTTCAAGGACGTCTGCAGGCAGAGCGTGCGTGCTGCCATGCTGATTGCATGGAGATGTCTTCGAATGTCTTCAGAAATCTGCGTGCTTTCCTGAACATCAAGGTCCAAGCGCAGTACCATATACAATCTCTATCGCGTTCCCCTGAATGCGATCGTGGTGCTGACGTTGATCCTCAAGCTTGGCGAGGGCATCTCTTTCATGGTCCAGCCCCAAGAGACCCCGACAGTCACAAGAGTTCATTCTAACTATGAAGATGCTACTGGTATTCTTGCTCATAGTACCATTATTATTATTATTGCTATTATTATCATTCTTATTCTTATGCTTCTTATTATTGTCGCTGCTGTACTCACTATGACCATTCGAAGTACTCTAGACCTTCTTCATCCTTCGCTGTGCTTGGGGCGCTTTTGCTGTCGGCCTGTCGCTCGCCTGTTTTCTGCGATTTCCAGAGTTCAAAAACCGAAACCCCAAGCCGTAACTTAGGGTTTAGGGTTTAGGGTTTAGGGTTGAGGGTTTAGTGTTCAGGGTTTAGGGTTTAGGGTTTACGATGAAATCGTACTGCTAGAGGCACTTCAAAGAGACCTCGTTCAAAAGGGTTTAGGGTTCAGGGTTCGGGGTTTAGGGTTTAGGGTTTGGGAAGCTAGAGACGTGTTGCTGAAATCCGTGCCTGCCTTGTGCGAGCGTGCGAGTCGAAACCCTGACTTAACCCTGCAAGCGGGCTTGTCCTGGCTAGGTGGGAGGCAAAAAAGCCCTAAACCCTAAATCCTCTTGGTCTCTGCGTATCCTACACCCTAAACCCTAAACCCTGAGTTGTGAGAGCGTAAATGCTCTTGATCTCTGTATATAACCTGAGGCAACAACGACCATGCTTTGCGTCGCTGCCTTTGCCCAGGCGAGCTGTGAGTCAGGGCCGGTCTTTCCTCTGGAGTTTCTGATGCAAGGGACCATAGCAGCGATAGCATATACAAGTATGAGTGTAAATATAGATATACAGATGATATACATGTATACATGCATGAACAAGGACATCTTAAGGAAAAACGAGTTTAGAGCCAGGAGCAGCAGGATCCCGAACGTAAATCAAGGAATCCCTATTTTTCAGAGGCCCTCATGTAATGCGGAAGCCTGAATGGTAGAAAATGCTTGTTCTTTCAGGGTTCCTCAAGACAGTTACAGTATATCTGATGGATCACCACGCCCTGTTCTCATGATGAAGGCCTTACATCCCTAAACCCTAAACCCTAAACCCTAAACCCTAAACCCTTAACCCTAAACCCTTCAAGGCTCGCATCATCAAGCTCGGGGGCGCCAGGCCGGTGACTCTCCCAGCACCTACCGACGAGGACAAGGTTTAGGGTTTAGGGTTTAGGGTTTAGAATTTTAGGGTTTAGGGTTTAGGGTTCAGGGTTTAGGGTTTAGAATTTTAGGGTTTAGGATATAGAGGTAGAGTCTAGGGTAGATGATTTAGTTTGGGTTCAGGGTTTTTGATCAGGGTTGCGCGCTTAGGGTTTGGCTTCCCCAGCACCCACGGATGAGGACAAGGAGCTTGTGGACCAGATTGGAAAGTCCGCGGAAGCTCCTGAGGAGGCTGAAGCGTAGCTGGCGAAGTAACAAGCCCAAAGAGCTACTGTAGGGGCCTGAATAGATAGAACCTAGATTTACGATAAGGAAACCCAAACTAGCACAGGCCCCTATGTTACCTGCTTAATTCAGCTGTCGCCTCGACAAGCAGGGCGCGAACAGCACAAGCATGACTCGCTGTTCCCTCCGTTGTTGCTGATAGCATCTGGACTCTTCACCGTTTGAAGGGTTTTCGGTCTTGGACCGCCCGTTTGGCCATCGAACCCTGAGCGTAGAACTCAGGTATATGCTTGCGACGGCCGGAGCAGACGGCGTGCTTCAGGCAACGTGGGGTTCAGGGCCTTTCAGGGCGGCAAGCCCGTTCATTGCCTCGTGATCCCTGCTTAATGGGCACGTTTGATGTGATTTTCGTTGCTATTGTTACGTACGCAAACATGATTGTGTCTATCAGGGTCGGTATCACATCTCTGCTTCTAAGCTTTGCTTGTAGACTGAAGCTAATTGGCGCTGCCGGCAAGTGTTCCGTAAACCCTAAACCCCAAACCCTAAACCCTAAACCCTAAACCCTTAAGTGTTGTTGTGGTGAATAATGTTGGTTCTTTGGAGCCCTTGAGGCCTCCCATTTGTAAAACACAGGATACCATATTCGCGCTAGCGCTATCATGTAATACAGGGGCCTTGATCATTACCTATACTTTTGGGGTTCCTTATTATTACTATAGTACAATGGGCCCCAAAAGCCTATTCTCATTAAGTTGTTGCACTTCTGCTTGTTGAAGTCATGGCTCTCTATCTCCAGTTGTGCCGGCAGTCCAGCGATCTTTCGTGTTTGCTTGCTCTGGTTTGTTATTTATTGTCACTATTGTTAGTGCTATTATTGCAGCTACTACTGGTACTATTCTTCTTATCAACATGGGAGCTTCCGAAAATTAAGGGGTACCGTATTTTGGGGTCCTTATGGTAAGGATCCTATTATTTGGGGTGCTACATTAGGGTCCCCTATTTTCGGAAACCCCAACATGCCACTGTTGTCCTTTCTTGTTCTGCATCCTTTTCATGCTCGGAGCCACGGAGGCAGCAAACTTGCTGGAGTTGCCGTTGCAGCTTCTGTAGCGGTTTTTCTCATGCTCTGCTTCTTCTGATGGCATTTAACCCTAAACCCTAAACCCTGTTGGTGTTTTTTGTCGAGGCCTCTTCGGGCATGCTGCTCATGGTCTTCATTGCCGGGACGCTCCTCGAGGCCTTGGAGAAGAGCTCAATGCGTTCCCTCATGTTTAGGTTTAGGGTTCCCTTGAACTACCATAACCTACTTTTTTGTAGGTCCTTATTATAAACCCTAATATAGAATTTATAGGGACCCTACAAAAAGTAGGTTTTGCTAGTTCAAGGTCAGGGTTCGGCACAGCTGACTGTCAAGTGGGGCTAAGCCTTCGTGCCGAATCCTAAACCTCAAGCCCTACCGCTTCGATTCAATCCCTGAGCCCCAAACCCTTGCCCAAAACCCTTGTCCCGGATGTTACTTGGTATGTTTCCCGACATCTTTACCTGAGGCCTCCTTATGTACTGGGTTCCTTACTCCTACAGCTAGTTCAGCTAGTTTCCGCTGTAACAGACCTGGAACACTCATGCCGGCTTGAAACTCAGGGACGTACGTATCAGCTTCAATCGACGACGCACCAAGGAAATGACCCTGAGCTGGCATGTCCAATGTGAGCACCGAAACCCTTGTCCCCGCTGAGTCGAAACCCTCTGCGTTGCAGAGTTCATTCTGTTGCTCCCAGCTTCTGGTAGGAAAAAGTGACGACTTAATGGTCAGGACAAGGTGAAGGCTCTATGAGTCTATGAGTTCTTGAGGTGCTTACATCTTGTGATAGTTCTACTTACGGTTTACTAGAATACACCCCAAAACCCATTCGTATTTTTTGAAGGCCCGCATATTAGATGGCTAGATAGACAAGCCAGGAAGAGGCCGGTGATGCTCCTACCTACTGTAGACTGCCGATGATTAAACAAGAATAAACTCCCTTTTTGTAATGGCCCTAATGTGAAGAGCGCATTCTGATCCTTCGCTGAAGGAAAGGTTTTATCAGGCGTCTCATAGTCTACATTACTCTTCAGGAACACCAGAAAAGGATGCATAGTCCGAACTTGGACGCGCAGGTTCGGCTTGTCCTTTGGACGTCGCCAGTCGTGCTCTTCGAGACATGGCAGCACAGGATAATTTGAAGGAGCGTGTGAAGGTCTATCCGGCATGTGAAAACAAGGGACGTCAGCGTAGATTAGGAGGATCCCCGAACATGGGGTTTTTGACTGGATTTCAGCGTGAATGTTCACTTAAAATCGAGTGTATGTACATCATGCTTCCAGGACTTCCTGATTCAGAATATGGGTCACTGAAAATGGATGAGAATGGCATCCTGAAAATCGGATCCTTATTGTGAAAAAAGACGCTGACAGTCGTTCTCCGGCCACGGTGACACGGGGGAACAGCCACTTCTGTCCCTCAAGTGATCGTAGCCGCAATGAGGGCACTGAACTCCGGCGGCTGACATAGGGGGGGTTCTTGCTTAGAGTTTAGAGGTTCTTGTGAGTGCATATCAGCATATCCTTAATAAGCTAGTGTCTTGATAAGTAAGGGGTCTCCCTAAACCCTAAACCCTAAACCCTCATGTTTTCTGCCAGCTCCCGTAGGTCCCAGACGGGGCAGAAGTTGCACCCCCCAGGTCGCTCTGCTCGTCCTGGCAGCCTCGGGCACAACGTGCCGGGCTCAGCTTTATCCGAGGTTTCTCGGTGAATGTAGGAACCTGATTAAGAAACCCTGGCCCTGGAACCCCAATATATTAGGGCTCATATTCAACACCCTTATAAAGGGCCAGGGTTTCTTAATCAGGTTCCTACATTGCTGCTTGTGCCTTCCTTGGTGTGCTTCATGGGAAAAGATGGCATATATTGGCTTTACTGACTTACACTAGGTGAGAAGGCGACGTGTCAAAGAAGACGTAGGTCGCTTGGCCCGACGGGGAGTCCTCTTTACTGGCCGTTGTGTTGCGGTGCTACCCGTCTCAAGATGCTCAAGTAGGGTAGGGTGCATTAAACTTGCGCCGTCGCCGAACGCATGAATTCGCGTCCCCCTCCCACCCCGGCCCAGCCCCCGAAGCCCCGTGCCAAGCTGCTGCGGTTTGGATAAACCTTTCCTTCCGAGCCGCTTGCACACTGTGACATCCGCCCCAGACTCCCGTGGCAGTATTCTGCTTTCCCCCAGAGTTGTGATGTGCTAGGTCCTGAACTCAAGAACACACGGGGCTGAAAAGGATCGGCTACCTCATCTGCCTCGTGTGCCCGAGCACTCGTCTGGCAAGCAGCGCGGCCCAGTTTGTCCTGGCCAGGGGCTTACGAGGGCTTCCCGCTTAGCTCACCTATCGTGAGCGAATTTTGGAACCTGGCATAGCAGCTGACAAGCAGGATTGCAGGACAGCAAAGTACAATCAATGAGATCTTTTGTGCATTCAGCTTGGGCGATTCTGGTACGGGCTTGGAGGTTGTGGCCCAGCGAAGGTACCATTGGAGTTGTCCGGATCTTCTCGGGGTCTGCTTGACTCCACAGACGTGAAGTTTCGAACGGGCGGCGCTGTAACTTGAGACTGAGAAGCCTTTCAGGCATAAGCGGCAGCCCACTAAAACCGAAACCCAAAACCCCAAACCCTAAACCCTAAACCCTAAACCCTAAAGAACCCTAAACCCGAAACCCGAAACCCCAAACCCCAAACCCTATAAGCCCTAAAAGCGGCAGGCCTGGGTGATCTTCTTTGCGCCCGCGGCGCCGGCGGCGACGGCATCTTCGGCTCGGGAAACCTGCTGACTTCTGCGTTCCCGGAGTCCCTTTGTTTAGGGTTTAGGGTTTGGGTTTAGGGTTTGGGTTTTACGGTTTGGGGTTTAGGGTTTGCGGTTTAGGGTTTACGGTTTAGGGTTTGGGGTATAGGGTTTAGGGTTTAGGGATGCGAGGTTGCCAGAAGATGTTGAGGCCTCCATAATATAGGGGACAGAATAATTACGAATTGCCTATGCTATGTTTTGGGGGTTCCTGATGAACATTTATAGTATAATGGACCCCAAAACCCCATGGCAAATAATACCCTTACATTACCCTGCCCCATCTTGCGAGGTAGTGCCAGCGGCAACTTGGACCAGCACTGGGTTGGCAAATAGAGCTCGGGGCACTGCACGCTCAACTCGAAATGCACCTTCTTCTTCACTTGGCGTTGAGAGGGAGTGAGTTCTGAAATGCACGAAGGGCTCATGAAGCTTACTATTTATAGTGGCCGTGCCTGGCAGTGTCCGAGTTGCGAGACCGTAATATAGGGCCGTAATAAGTCGAATGGGTCTTGGGATATTATGCTATAGTTATACTTAGGAGCCCTTAAGAATGCAGTGTCGGTAATTATTTATGCCCTGTACCCTACGCCCTAATTGAGCCCCAGAACACTCCCTCGACTTTCGAGATGTCGGATGCTTCAGCAGATATCTCCATCCGACCAAGCGCTGAGAACCTTGCCTGGCATGCCTGAGAGGGACCACCGAAACCCTATTGCTGCTCACAGTTTCTCACCCTGCAGTAATAACAGTAGTAAACCCAACAGAAATAATTACTGTCTGACCCAAAACATGACAGTAATTAGCCATAAGACTATATAATCAGGCGCTAATAGCAAAATAGCAATGATAGTAACTCGTTATTCATATACGAAAATCCGTACCAGGCGCAGCCAGGAGTCCCACTGCTCAGGGACCTCATCTCGCAGTGAGCGCCGAAACCAAAAACCCGAAGCGCCGAAGGCCCCTAATGCAGGAACCTGATTAAGAAACCTTTGAGTCTGTATTAGGGCTCTGTATATGGATCCTAATATTTTGGGGTTATAGGGCCAAGCTTTCTTCATCAGGTTCCTACATAAGGCCCTAAACTGAAGCCCCAGAGACCCTGAGGCGGGCAAGCAGACCTGGACGGCGCTGTTCCTTCCGGCCATCCTCCCAGAAGCTACAAGCCACACATCATCTGCGCACATTTATATAAGTGAATAAATGCAAAGATTGAACAAGCAGCAACAGAAAGTATATAGAAGAAAGAGGAAGTGCAACTAAGATTCCGTCTTCCCCTCCTGGTAGCATTGCTTCTCCCTTGTGAAAAACCTTTTGTATTTATGGTTCATGCAGGAATATGGTCCTTGCCGTGGTTATCGTTCAGCTATGAATAAAGCAGTGCCGTCAATGTTCTAAGTATGTACATGCATGCAGACGGACGCGCACGAACACACACAAGCAAACTTGTCTGTCACGTCACTGGAAAGGTGAAAACATATCTGCAAAGCGAGCTGGCAGATTGCTTCAACCGTGCATGCATGGTGGTGTGTGCACGACTGGCCACTGTTGTGATTAATCTTGCCAACTCAGGGGTCAGGCTTTCTCTAATCTGTTGGCACAGGGCTCAGATTTTTGTAGGAGCGTTTGCACCTCGTTGTTGCCTGGTCTTTGTTTGGCAAGGACAGACGCGCACAGATTCCTGCCCCTTTGCACACCTTCCTCGATGAAAATCTTGTCAGCATGCGAGAAAAATATTGCAACGTCAAACGGCTGGGAAGGCGCTCCGCCTGGCTTATGTACTAGAGCTGTTCTCTCACTCTCACTCCCACTCTGACTCTCACTCTCACTCTCACCCTCACTTTCACTCAAGCACCGCATTCCAAAACGGCCAGCTGACCAGCTGCCACAGCACGAAACGACACAGGGAGCATTATTGACGCACCAGTACGTATCACAGTATGTGGTACCGGTTCACAGTATGCATGCATTCTACAATGCTGACAACATTGGAACAGGACTCCAGTTTGTGGGCACTCGCAGATATACTTCTTCTTTATGGTCATAACGTCACAAATAAAAAATGTGTTCATTGCGCAATGATCCCGGCAACCATACCAACACTGGGTAATACTGGGTATTTAGGAAAAGTAACAAGAAGCGTCTTCAATGGCACAACTACTTGCAGCAGCGACAGCAAGTGTTATCGTTTGTAGGGTAATTATGCAGAGGCAGCAGACGAGTCCCTTGTGAAAAAAGGATCGCGCGAGAGAGAGAGAGAGAGGAAGGCAACAGTATCACTCAAATCCACCCGGACTTGCAACTGTAGTTAATCATGGCCATCCCAGCACAAGAGCACCACATATAGAACAAATGCGACAGCCTACGTCCTAGTCTTAAATCCGAAGCCCTAAACCCAAATGTGCTTCACCAGCAGACCTCGAACCACATGCCTCGCCTGATTACCCTAAACCCTAAACTCTAGCCCCAAAACCCTAAGCCCTGGTTTGCTAGTTGTGTGTGGCGTTTCTTCATTCCTACCTGACAACGCCAGACATGGTCAAAAGAACTGATGCCTGTGTTACTTTGTCTTTCAGCTGGACCCGTATCGCTGCAGACGTTGCCAGGCTTGTCCGAGTGCGAGTGTCAAAAAACCCTTAACGCTAAATCCTAACCAGTCGAGGTCATTTCGGCACACCGGGCAACTTTCGAGCTGACCGCTGCTTGTGTCAAGGGCCGTTGCTTTGCGGCTCAAGATGTGACTCTTGGTCCTGAGTTGGGAGATTTAGGGGCTTTTAGGGGGGGACTGAATTATTACAACGGCCGAGCCGGATATGTCTGTACCATAATTTTACCATGGTTTACCCCCGAACACTTGTCTAATGACTGCGGCCCTTATTTTTGAGATATCGTTCGGGGTTGGAAGACATCTGGATGCAAAGGGAGCTCGGGGTTTGAGAGTCTAGAGTTTGTTTTTTGCTCTCTCCCGTCACACAACCGCGGCCTCAGTACGGGTTAACAAAAAACCCAAAACCCTAAGCCTTTAAATTGTAAACCTTTAGATTGTCCGAGTGTGAGCGCCGAAACCCGAAAGGGTTTGTGTTTTTCCAGTTCAGTGTCCGACTTGGGGCTGCAAGGGGTTCAGGAACCCAGTGTGCCTGAATGGCGTGGGGGCATGAATCATTACTGACAGGGTTCCGCAGGGATCCTATAATACAAGGTGGCTAGCACGCCGACTGCTATCGATGAACCTCACCTGGATCGTCCGAGTTGTGGAAGTCTAATGTAGGGGCCTAAGTAATTGCCAATACTATTTTGGAGGCTCCTTGTTATAAATATAGTGGAAGGGGCCCAAAACCCCATTCTAATTATTAAGGCCCCTATATTAATACAAGGTGGTTATGGTTTAGAAACATCCTCAGGCAAGTTTTGCCAAATCTGCACCCGAGACATCCCGAGACTCCACCGCGTACCCTTAAGTACGGTTTCGGGATGAGGGTGTAGGGGTTTTGGGGAATTAGGGTTTAGGGTCTAGGGTTCAGGGTTTAGGGTTTAGGGTCTCCAACTTTAGGGTGTAGGGGTTTGGGGAAGTAGGGTTAAATTCCTAACCTTCGCCCCGCTCGCCCAGGAGGGAAGCCTTCATGACGGGGAGGCCTTTGCAATGTCTTCTACAGCACGGGGTTTCGAGTTTCAGGCCCTTGGGGTTGTGCATGTAACATAGTGACCTGAGTTTTTACCAAGACTATTTTGGGGGTTCCTCAGTATATAATTTTAGTATACTGTACCCCAAAACCCTATTCGAAGTATTAAGGCCTCTATATCAGGGGTCTAGTTCAGACGTTCAGATTTTCGCGGGTTGTGGCTTGGTGAGTCAAGGGCACGTCCTTTCCGTCAGGGTTGAGGAAGAGCCTGAGGTTGCTGGCAATGGTGCCACCCGGTTCATCCGGCTCAAGCACGAACACGTCTTCTTCGGAAGATGTGGTGTCTTGCGTTGTCTGTGCAATGCCTCCACCGCGGATAGCATGCGGGTGTGGATGGAAGGCGCCGTCGCTGTTGATCCTCTTAGCACCTTGGCCGATTTGGTTGGAAAGGTTTCAAAGAGATGATGTCGTTCTTCCATCTCGTTGCGTTGCGTTTTTCATACGGCATGCCATGTAGAGGTGCATTCGGCAAAACCTCGGGGCCTCGGGGTCCTATTGCCATAGCCGCTCGAGGTTACAACTGGCACGGCAGTTCGTGACGAGTCCTTCAGCACGAACATCGATGTCGACAAATCGGACGGAAGTGCCGAGAATAGTGCATGGACAAATTCGAGCTTGCTTGCGAGCCTTGGCTGCAATCAGCATGCCTCCCGCTAGGTTCTTTGCAGCCTTCTTTCAGTCGGGTTTTTGCCAGTGCCCGACTGGAGGGCCCGCACTTTTTTTTTTTCCTACCGTTGGCGGTCCCCGGCGGCCCTTGGTAACGTTGGCGGTAAGTTAAGGATTTTAAACAATTTA